ACCCAGGTTTGCGAAGGAGGAGAGCCATGCTCTGGCCGCAGAGAACCCATTTAGTTCGGTAGCACTCGGGAGGGAGCAGGGTGGAGGCGGAGCCATGCCCGGAAGCGGTCCAAGGAAGGCCTCTGGGAAGGAGGAGGTTGTCGGTGGTGAACAGTCATTTGCGGTTGGACGGCCCGCAGACTCAGAGGCTTCAGATTGTCTGACTGAGGGGCAAGATGGAGGGGGGCAGTAGTTGACCTGTGAGTTAGGCATCAGACCAGACAGTGGGGAGTTCAGGCCGGGCAACAGACCCTGAAACTGTGGTGAGGACAGCATCAGGCTAGCATCTACCAGCGGCATTGGAACGGAACACATTGGGAAAGAGGTCAGAGGATTGGAAGAGAGCAGGGGGCTGGGGCGCGACTGAAGCCCTGCTGATACCATGGGTTCCACTAGACGTAGTCCTCCTTCATTGGGTGAACGGGCATCGGCTCTGTGCGCACAGTCGGACGGATTGGAATGATGCAGATGGAGACTGTTCGTCAGGGCGGAAAAATCTCCAAAGGGGATACCGCTGAAGCTGGGTCTGTTGACGTGAACCGATTGTGGACTGGAGTGAGTTGGACCACCACCGTTTCCACTAATCCCTTCTCGCCCTGGGCTACCTATTCTCCGCTGGGTACCCACACCCATATCTTTGCTGTCCTGGAGGAAGTGGGGCCTCAGCATATCCTTTGTTGACTGCAGGTCGCTCGGTAGCATGCCAAAGGGCTGGACAGGGTGGAGGTAAAAAAGAAGAAGGCAGATTGGTAATGCCACAGCTTGAAAGTCAGCCAATCCGTTGTTAAAATGACCGTTAAGGGCCTGGGTCTTCAAACTATTTTATACCTACAGCAAGCGCTCGCGATAAATTCGAGGAAGAACGAGAGGAAGAACGCATACAGAAGCTATCTAGGTAGATTATAACAGTTGAATTTCCCGTTAGGTTGGGATTGGAGTAGCGACTTTATTGGCGTAAGTTACAGTGTAGACATTAATGATTGGTCCACAGGATTGGCATAAGCACTGCCCCAAAATCTAAGCATGACAGGTCCATGAGAGGTCTAGAGATATCGAATAAATAAATCTGTCTGCAGGGCTTTCATACATTACGATTGGGCCTACTCGCTTCTCACAAAAACACATGTTTTATGGACACTTTAGTAAACAGTAGTCCGGAGAGGAAATTTACCACAGTTTTGGAAGCAAGACCGAGAAATTAAAAAATGTGCTTTATTTTAAAAACGTGAAACTGGACGGCTTTTTTGATTGGTTTACTTGCAAATTACCTCCATCCTAGTAGGTCTGCGCCACTCCTGCAACAGACCGTGGGTTAAATCGCAAGTTAGTACGTTTGAGACAGACCTATAATGAGCGCATAGGACTATCGGGAGAAAAAGGTTTACAAAGCTAGCCGAGAAACGGGCCATAGGTAAACTGAGCAGGTCTATCTTATTTATGGCTACTCATACAATTTGGGTTCCGGAGGGCATAAGCAATGGGAGGTAAATTTTGTAGATAACTTTTGACGTGACATTTCGGTGGTATATTGACAGAATTTTTCAGTAGAGGTGACCACCCTAAATATCGTGTTTCCTAGTAAGTAGTAGAAACTATGGCAAAGGTATCGATGCCGCGCACATCCTAAATGCCGGCTTTTGGATCACTATTGAGTATATATGGTACAGTAACAAGAATGGCTATTTTGCTATACTCTAATTTTCGAAAAACAAAAAGTTGTTTTATCTGTGTTGCTCTATGCGCTAGCAAATCGACTGTTTATAACTTACTTACCGACGTCATCCAGATGTTAGCGAAATAGGGGAAAATAATTACTTACAGCTCCTGTATCGGTGGTTTTCGATTCTACATGGGCGGGAAATTTATGGATGATATTTCGAAATGTACACAGAACACCAAAAACGTAACTTCCTTTTTAACCGTCGGCTTACTCTCACATCAAGTGGATAAGTGCACCTATTTATGCCGGTTGAATAAAATTTCATTAAAAGGCAGTCCTAGAGCACGCCTTTTGAGAAAATAAACAACAATGCATCCTGGTTGTTAGTAACTATAACAGAAAAAAAATTCGCCTACTGTTTTTCCAAGTCTTTCAGATAATAGATAACTCTGATGATAAAGGACCTAGTTTCGGGAATTTTAGACAAACTTTCTAATGGAAAACAAAGCAACTCAAAAGCAGGTAAGCCTGCTCTACATGAATTAGATTTTTTTGGTTTATTAGATTCATTGTAGGAGTGTCTCATGGAGAGTTAATTTCAACAGACGTCTAGAATTGAGTGGGGAAAATATGACCTCGTTTTCCTAGTTGATGCTCCCTGAGGAAAGGTTTTCGTTTTGTATATTATTTTAGACAACCATCGGTTCCTTATAATTAACATTTGGAAGTGTGGTGCGCTTTCCGGTTAGTAAAAATGCGGCGTTTGGTACTTTTTTAAACATCATCTGGGCTTTTGGGCATCCTTAGAGATTAATAACTCCTACTTACGCCATCCCGTGAAATGACTTCTGCCATTTTTCATTTTCCCATGGGAGTAATTCCGAGCGTAATACAATTACTGACATTATTCGACCGTACTTTAAACAAAAAAATTTCGAGTTATCGCTGTGAAACTTTTCACACTAGTCAAACTCAGGTCTGTTTAATGAAATTAAAATACTGCTATAAACGAGGTCAGGAATTCGATCGGGTGATAATATCCGTTCCGGATTTTTCGACAGCCCACTCAAAGAAGTGTATTACTCGGTACTCTCTAGAACACATTTTTCTTCCGCGTTAGTCCTTGTTAGAAGTCCAGTAAGTGACACAGAGGTCACCCTTTTCCATTAGTTCTGACCACCACTGAAAAAGTCATCCCTTCGAAGTTTCTCTGACCAACTACATTAAACACGCGCACTCGTAAAAATTATTTGCTTGTGGAAAATTTGTGGTCCTATTATTGACGATGCCATATAGGTCAGTTGCTCTTGCTTTTATGTTGGTGAAAGTAAGTCGGTACGTTGTTTGTGTAAAGTCAGTTGACGTGACTTTTCCAACCCACGCATTCGACTCTTGCTGCCTACCTGTAGGCGTTATTTTCCATTGAGGTAGTCAGTCTGTTTATCCTGCATTCACTACCCATCCCTGTCCGATTGAACTGGTGCCGCCAAAAATCAGTGGTTCAGTATATCCTAGGCGAGATCTCTGCAGTTTAAAATGTCCTTCCGTGTGCACATGGCGCGTATTCGGATTCCCCATTTAGTGGTTCCTCACTGGTCCTTACTGGTTTCTCTACGCTTAGTCTCAGTTACCAGGGCAACGAACCACGAACTGTGACAATTCAGGTCGAAAGGAAATTGACATGTGAGCCGCCCGTAATACCAGTGGTTTTACGCTAAATTCCAGAGTTGATATTATTAAGCTTTAGGGTTAGTTTTAGAGTTGGGATAGAGGGAGATTTAGCCTTCCTGAAATTCAGGGCATAACCACCAGTATTACGTGAGGGTGTTCTTATTTCTGTATCCTGTCGGAGGTCATATGAGCCACTCCAACCTAAAGGAGACTTTGGTGAATCTAAAAAGTAAGATAGTGATAAAAAAAACTATGGTGATGATGAGGAAGGGGAGGAGAGGGAGACTTCCTTAGACAGTAATACATTAACAGTCTGCTTCTTGATCCTGACAAACGATGTAACGTGAGGGCTTATATGAATTAGATGACATAGAATTCAGCACAGAATTGAAATATAATTATCCGATGGTTCGAGTATGTAACCCCTGTTACAAATAAATATAATGGTTTTATAACTATATCCCTTTTTATTTACTAACAACACCACTGAAATCATGTTTTCCAAATGGATAGTTACAGTTCTCTCTCTCTCTCAGAAGCCTTCAAGAGCCTCGGCATGAACGCACACTTTGCGATACTAGGTCTATGTCCTTATGTGTTTGATGGTTTCGAGCTAAAGCTGTTTACAAATCCTGTGGAAACCATTGTATTCATTCTGTCCTATTACTACTGGTTCATCCTAGAGCTTATAGGATAGCCGGCAAACCGAAAACAATTTACAGGCTCTTTACAATTCTAGTACGTTCATATCCGCATACGCACCCCCCTCCCCCCACCCGAAGTCCCATTTATCGACCAGTTTTAATGTATGCAGGCTGTCATAGGCCAGATTAAGAAAGTACATTCTTTTCTACAAAATAAAAACCAAACGCAAGTGTGCAGCACTTCCGTGGTATATATGAATATTGATATTTTACAAGCATCTTAAAGTGACAATAGGATTTTTACTACCAGAAGCCGGCTTGCATGCGAAAACTTCTTCTTCCCTATGCAGTTGCTGTCATTGCAGTTCCTCTTCGTTTTATTTCATTTGACAACACTGGTCTGCGGTCCGGTCCGGTCAACGTCTCATGCATTTCAGTGTGCAAGTGATCATCCATTATTTTATTAAGTCACCGTAGATGTTGGAATGCAGCAAGCAATAGGGGAGATGTATGTGTGTATCCATCGTTTACATCGGGCGAGGGGGTACTTACGTTGAAGTTAAATATTTGTATCAAAAGTACATGTCTTTATAGGCAACTGTTTGGCTCACCTAAGACTAAGATAAATTTAATTAGTGCAAAATGCGCACACGCCAAGTTTATTGATTTTAGGGTATTCGTTGTCAGCGCCTCACAAATGCAACTCGACTATGCCAATTCAGAAAAATGCATATCCTCCCATGAAATATTCCAGTCCTCGAATGAAAGAAAATATCTGCTTATGGTAGTTGAATAAAACACGCGTCCTTCGAAGCTGACACGACAGTCGTCGCTGGGAGTTTTTTAAAGGGAAATCCTACCGGCGTCTTCTTCAAAGACGACTTAAGGAGGCGTTAGTGATTGGTCCACACCCGGTTGTTATGTTCCTCTCAAGCCCGCACGGAGGTGCCGAGGTGATGCCGGCTTGGCTTGCTCGGTTATCAACCAGGAGGCTCCCTATACGTTAATTATTTGAACAAGTAGCGGAATGCGTCGAAGGGGGCATCGCTACCTTGCTATGGCCGTAAAAAACACCCGCTTTTCATCACACGTGTTTGCTCAATGGTCTATAAGCCCCCACCTGAAATCTCCTCCTCTTCAT